AGGGAAAGCAAAACCTTTAACCTTTAGGTCAGGAGTGGGAACCTACAGGGAAGAAAGGGTTCTGAGGAAAGAACCACAAATGTGAAAAGAAGTATAATGGTTAGGGAGGAAGATCCTCAGCTTTAGATCAGTCAGAGATCATTTGAAGCACTGGTGAAGATTAACCCAGGTGGAATACCAACCACTATCAATGCAGATTATGGATACTGGCATGTGACATACCTTACTTGGTTGCTACGAGAGACCCCCTTTTCTGGATGCACTAGGAATATATTTCTATGGGATTTCAGCAACCTCAGAGAGAATTGAAAGAACTGTTGTCTCCAGAGTTTAGGGGAGTAGAGCAATCTGTACATTTGTCTCTGGAGTACCAGATCATAAGTTGATTAAACCAAATATTCACAGTGAGATGAGCATTTCCTCCCCCTCACTGGGGAGACACTAGCTGGTTTATTCGGCTCCACAAAATTTGGGATCTCAAAAACAGATATTCCAGGTAAAAATTGAAGCTTGGCTTCCCCCTGAAGACTATATTTACTTTGCCATTTGGCAATATCACTTTCAGAGGATGCTGCAAGGATTAACAAATTCCCTTCTGTACTCAGCAGACACAAAAACAGCAGTTACTAAATGTCAAAGCCTATGGTCTCCTAGAAATAGAGTCAACCAGAGGAGACATGGAGTCCTGTGGGTCTTACATCTAGGGTGCTTAGGAAGCCCTCTAACATGTGGAGTTTCCAGTACACTAGTGACGTACATACAATCCTGTCTCTCTATAGGCAGGGTACAGACGTTACACTTTTACTGGTATGAGTGATCAGAAATCAGTCTATACCCATTACTGAACAGAAGTTTGGCACACATAGACTTGTTTAAAAGTGGCAGAACCCAGTCTAAAATTTGCCCCTCCCCCCCCACACCACCACCGAAGGGCAAATGCATGTTCTGTTCACTACTGATCTAAACTATGGCACTTACAGAAAACTTCATAACCTGGAACGATTCCACCTCAGGCTTTTTAATGTCTATACCTAGCCCTAGTGTCCTGGCCTAGCTGCTATAACAGATTATTACTTCACAAATAAAGTTCTATTTTGGGTAACAGAAGCCTGGTTTTTGTACTGAAGGTTGTGGGTTTAATACCTGCTGATAACCATACTATAGTGCAGCCATGGTTTATTACACAAGGAGTGGGAAGGAAGAACATAAGGAACTTTTCTTCTTGTGATTCAGTGCAAGAGCCAAATACAAAAACAACTACCTCTGTGCTCTGGAGACTGTAAGGACTACTGTATTTTAGATTTCTCAGAGGCACAAATAAACCAAATGGATTGGGAAGAGGCAGAGGGAAAAGAGGGCAGGGCATTAAGAACTGGTCGACTACCCAGCAGGACACTGCAGCTGTATATTGTAGGATGACATTGTCTTTATGTTCAAAGTAGTTATGCCTGCTGAGACACAATTCCTCCTGGAGCTCCTGCTGGGGTAGTATAACTGCATAGTCCCCCAGTGAGCCAGACTGTAAATTACAAAATTGATTTAAAATGAATATAGAATGACAATGCTGCAGCGAGGAACATAATACATCATCAATTCCTTGAATCCAGCCAAAGCATTGAAGACCAATCAATGAATGCAGTTAACAACTACCCATTCAAAACACAGGGTCCACAGATACACTCACAGATACCTATGTACCTTTTGTGCAGCCAACACCCCACATTTTCACACACAAAAATTCTGGCAATGAGGCAACTGGTCAAATAGACCACTTGCCTGAATTGTTGAGATGAATCCACTATTCCTACACAAAAAAAATGGGTTAAACTGGTAAATTTTTAAAGTTAAGCCGTCATCTACCTTAAAAGGAAAACAACTAGAGCATATAAATATATATGAATTGTCATGAACTGCAGATCTAGCAGGCATGGTTTTCACTGTGATCATGGAAATCTGAACTCATAGTCACAACTCCTAATTCTTGATTCCTCTACAAATAACCAGTTTACAATGACCACACTGCACAGGCAAAACATTCACTCCCTATAAGGAAGCAGATGAGCCAGAGAGGTAGAGGGGGTTAGCCAACCACTAAATGTATTAATTATCATCTCCTAATAGCCAGTCAAGCAATGGCAATAGTAACTGCTTTGATGGTGATTTTTCACCCACACTCTGGAACAATAAAAAGATGCTAATGAGCAGCCAATCTAAAACTCATTGGGAAGGCAGAGTAAGAACAGCAAGGGAAATAAAAGCACAGAGGCAACAAAAAGTCAAAATAAATCTGCTCTCTGTTTTGGCCATACTGGCAGTATTCTATACTTAAAAGCATTTAGAAACAATGCAGAATATTAATGAGGAGTGCAACATATTCCAGTTAAATTAGGAGGGTGTGAACAAAGCTGACAGCAGTCTACAAGAGGCATCAGCTAATCTCCCACAAATCTGCATTCACTAATATTCAGAGATGAACTTTCCATGGGTCTAAAACCCTTTATCAGAATATCTTTTTATGAACTACTTCTGTGATATATCTATGGAATTACCACAACTAAAATTATACATGAAACTTTTATAATTATACTGGGGGAAGCAGAAACATTTGGCAGTGGTGCTTTCTCTGCACAAACTATTATTTTCTAGACAGAAGAATCAGCACAATGTATATCACAATGATCAGACACCTTGAATTTCTTTTGCTCATTCTCTGGGTAAATTATGCATCACTGCTAGGGAAATACCTTCTGTCCAATAATTAATAAAGTAGTAACTTGTTCTGAGACCCTGACACTAAGATTCCTATGAGAAATACAGATGTGATTTATATTTTTAGTCACTTTAATCCTTTTAAACATATTTATTCTTAGTAAACTCATTTGCAGTGCTGTGCACATAAAAGTATTAAAGAATGTGCATTTTAACTGCACTAGGAGCAATAAAATATACCAACTCCATTTTCAGCCAGCAACATTTCACAGCTCTTCAGCATTCTGAAATTCTAAACTAAAGGGCTGGTTTGTGCTGATATTTCTCCAGTGTAGCTACTTTTATTAACACTGTAAATAAATTGTAGGCTGCAGACACTCCTGATAAACTACCAAAGGAGTACTGGTGACAGCAAACTGCATTTAGCCAGGAGATCAAGCTGAAAAATAAACTGCATGTCAAATAGCTGGATCAATATAATAATTGCTCCAGGCTGGAAAAATTACAATCCATGGCTGAAGATGCACAACTACTTTATTAGGTTACATACTATATCTTGTGCTACAAAAAAAGTTTATAACCCATTTTTATGAAGCAGATGATGTACCAAAAGCGCTTTGATGATGGCAACATTTGTATTTAGGGAGAAGAATGAACTGCAATATAAACTGCACATCAAGTACTCTGATCAATATAATAACAGCTGCAGGCTACAAGAAATTACAATCTCTGCTTGAAGAGACATGAGTATTGTATTATATATGTCACAACTTCTGCTATGTAGGCAACAGCGTAAGCTATTTATATAATGGCAGAAGTTGTTGTTAAGCATGTAGTTTCATTATTTGTTGACATTTATGCCTAGAGGCTCTGTACCCCAGTTTACCACCTTCCACAGCCGAGTTACCACATTTCCTCCCTATATTTCTTCCTCAGGTTCCAAAGCTGTGACAGTTAGCTGGCATTCAGCAGGAGTGAGGATTTCAGAGGAAACAAAATGAAAACAAGACCCCAGGATTTGATTTCCTTTTGATAAACATGACCAAAATATCACCTTGAAATCCAGCATGTGATAGTTTAAATGAAGCTCTTAGAACACTTAACAATAGAGCTCCTTCAATACAGTGTTACCTGCTGGCTCATCAGACAATCATACAGATACAACCTCTGACACTGCCAAAGGACCGCTGTTTTAGAAACAGCCTAAATTTGTCCCTTACCTGTCTCTTTGTCCTGGGCTGCTTCCAGGTGTAAGTCATTCAGGAGATGCTCCAAAATCTTCTCCGGTGTTCCCGATACCACCACATATCTGTCAGAAAGCAAAGAGTCCACAGAATCATCCTCTGTCGAAGACTGTGAACGGCTGCTCCATTCATCCTCCTCATCCTCCTCATCAATATATTTAAAATAAGGCACATCAAATGTAGGTAGGGGCAGCTCCCTGCCTAGAAAGGCTGCAGAATCTTTCTTCTCTAAATCGGGGTCAAAGATCCTCAACCTGGAACTTCCCATAATGTACAATTAATAACAAAGACATTCCCTAAATACTACTGTGTCTTGCCATCTTAGTTCTCTTGCTGGTAACTGAGTCCATCTGGCTGCTGAGAGCTCTGCAGTCAGCTTGTGAGAGAGAGAGAGAGAGAGAGAGAGAGTGTTTCTCTGAGCACCCAAGGAAAAAACTCTTACCTCCAATCATTCTCGGCACACCCTGATGTGGGGGCTGAGCTGTGTGACGACACTTTCCTAAGCACCAGAACATCTTGGTCTTGCTCCTTCTCTTGAACAGTAGTCACTTCATCATCCGGCTTTAATTTAGAGGGGGGGAAAATAACAGAAAGAAACTGGTAAATTCTCATGGGACTCCGGGGGAAAAATGAAATAGCTGATTAGAGCTACGTTTTCTTCCTCTTGAAGCTGTTACATACTGCAGTTTCTGCTCATGATTTACAGTCAAAAGATACACAATGTACCAGGCATCTGGGCAAATCTCTGAAACCTTTAATATGTATTGACAGAGCTGGAACCTAGAGAAATCAGTTTCCTTCACTATTTAATTTTTTTTTCCTTAGTTGGAAAACAGGACAGAAGAAATGTTCCCCTTTGCTACTCTTTGTCATCAGTTTTTAGCACAGTGTATTGGATTGTTATTCGCACTAACAGTGGTGTATTCATTTTCCATTTGATGCATGCATGTTTTATTGTTTCTGAATTGCTGGTCTGTTTAATGTCTAACATCAAATAAATTAAAGGATGACATACAATAGTTAAAGTACTGCAAACATTTCATGCCATTCATAATAGGCTTACTTACTATGCAAACAAAATATACGAGCTGTAGAACTACTTATATGGGTTTAAAAAGAGTGGCAGTAAATGCACAGCAACGTACAGCCTTTATTTATATTTTTCATTCAAATCTTTTTTCTGCCACCTTTTAACTTTCAAAACAAAACAAACACAGGAAGCTAAGCTTAGTGAACATCCATGGTCTGACTCTCAACAAAGTGGAGAACTGAATGATATGGGTCAATGCACTGACTTTCTTCATCTCAGTTCCCTTAAAACAGAAGCAAGCCGGACAATCAAATCATCAATTTCTGCACAGGCAGCCTCTATCCACTGCCACAGAGCAACTAAAGCCAGCTGACTATGCAGTGTAGGAGATGAGGGTTTGCTGCTGACTGAGCAGCATACATTGACACATACCAACTGCTAGTCCTCCTAGTGGATCCTGCCCTAGAAGCATGAAGCAGCACAAGGAAAGCACAAAATGTAAATGCAGTTACATATTTCAGTTCCTGTTGCTGTAGCACTGATGACTTGTGGAGAAAAATATTCAAATGCTTAATGGTAATTGGATTTAGAATTATGCTATTCAGTAAGTCAAATATATGTTTTAGCTTATTATTTGAGCAATAAAACTAGCACTTATATGTCAACTGTACTATATTCAGCAGTTGAGAGAAAATTCAACCAGGCCCAAGATTTATTTTAAAATGTATGGTTAGTGTTCCCCTTCCTCTCATTTATTTAAATAGCCTCTTGTGGGCTAAGATCAAGTTCTATTCCCAGTAGCACCCCACAGTTTTTTTCAGGATCATGAGTCCTTGCTCTAAAGATCCAACAGTTAAAAGAGAGTTTTATCCATAAGCACCTTGTAGAATTGATCTATTTAATTTCAGCAAGGTTGGATACACCTTGGTATCAAGCCAATTAATGTCAGATATTCATTGCAAAATTTCCAGGGGACATTAGTGAGAAGCCACATAACAGAAACACTGATGCATATTCGTAATCTTCCATTTCACAGGAAGAATTTTTTGTTGTCTGTGTATTTGCAGAGCTGCAACAAAAGCAGCAAAAAATAAAAAGAGAACAAAACAGGTGTAGCATTATAACAATTGTACAGTATAGGTTTATACAAATAAGCCTCTCTCTCTCTCTCTCTCTCAAACATCCTCTAAGAACACCCTGAAACTATTATCCCTAAACTAACTGACATTCTGAAATGCACCATATATTGGATATGTATATGATGTATAGCTTGCCGATTAACCATCTATGTAAATATATGTGAAGACGGGTATATAATATATATGTGTACATCTACAGTTTGCTGCAGCTCAACAGTGGGAGGAATGTAGGCGAAAGCTGTGACATGCTGATATGGGCATGAACAATACCTTATGCTAGGAAGATAGAGTTTTTACTCTGAAATCCTGCTAAATAGGGAAGATTTCCAATAAAGATGATAAACCTCAATTAACTATTTGAATAAAACTATTCAAATCTACTATGTATATAATGCCCAGATGGTGAAGTTTTCACAAGATTCTTCTTTCCTGTCATCTTTATTTTAATTTGAAGCAGAGGAGCAAGAAATCAAATGTCAGTACCCAGTTTTGTAAAAAAACAAGGGTGTGAGGGTTGTATCCAAATTCTCTTTTTTTCTAAAAAAATAAGATCCCAGTCAATGGTGAGGTATTGGTATTGTGGGTAAGGGTCCAGGTTTGGCCCACTTAAAAAAGAAAATACTTTCCTTTACTAAGGGATTTAGATGAAATTCTGGTTATTCATTAAAAAACATTCTGGCTTCAGACTGGCCTAGTAATTGTTCTGCAAACAAACTTTAAATTTAAATATAAACAAATGAACAAACAAACATGAAGAAATTGCCCATACATTTCACTGGTTTTGGTAAGTTTTGTTTTCAAGGCTGAAAAATAATAATCTGCTATTATGTAAATATAAGGACAAGTTTCTCTTACTAGCATCCTGTATGGGTCATGAAATAGGGAATACCTATTGGAAGGCAACTGTGAACCTGGGTCACTCTCCTAGAGCCATGGATAGAAGAGAGTGAAGAGGGGTGGAGGCCACTAGGGACGCCTTCCTGTTAAATACCATAAAATATTCAAGACCTACGGCAGTCACAGACATCATGTCCCTTGAAATAGAAATAAAATAACAATATAATTAAAATGTAAGTTTTCACATTCAAGTAACTTAACAAGAAATATATTTAAGGTCTTTCTTTTTCAAAGCTATTTGCATTCATTGTCCAATTAACCTGGGGAGGCAAGCAGATCGGCATAATTGCCAGGTATCACTATTTTCATTGTACAGATATGTAAATAAAACCAAAGCAGAGAAATTACCCAAAGTCATCAACAGAACCACAACTGAAACTCAGGTGATCCTGGGATCCCAGTTTCAATTTCTTCTTGCAAAATTTCATCGCTCTTCTGATTTTGCTCCTTTACCATCTCCTCCATCCTAGAACAGGGAAGAAATAACTCTGCCTGGTTGCTAGGTTCAGGATTTGCTTGAATTAATGCTTTTCTGGAGGAAATATGGCCTAGGGAAGGGGGGCCAACCTGCAGCATGTATGCCACAAGTGGAATGGGCAGCCTGTGTTTGTGACACGTAGCAGATTGGGGAAAGGACACACAGTACAGTGGCAGATAGGCCAGGAAGTAGAAAGCAGAGCAGCAGATAGGACATGGAGCCCAGGGTAGGGAACAGAAAGCACAGCAACATATCTGACAGGGAACAAAAATCAGAGCAGGATATGGGGCAGGGGAAGGGGATTGGAGTGGCACTTGGTGAAGTTGCAGGGCTTATTTGCGGCACACCTTCCAAAAGATTGGCCTCCATTGCCCTAGAGCAGGGGTCGGCAACCCCCGGCAGACATGCCGAGCAAGGCACATGAGGCCATTTTCCTTGGCATGCGTTGGAGCCAGGGAGGCAGCAACCGTTTGTAGCCTCCCCACTGCAGCTGGCCCCAGCTCTGGGTAGCTGCTGCTAGCCAGGAGCCCAGGCTGCTCCCAGCAGGCAGCTGGGATGCTGCAAGCCCTGCTGGGAGCAGCCCAGGCTCCAGCAGCTACCCACAGCTGAAGCTGGCTGCAGCCAGGAGGCTACAAACAGCTGCTGCCTCCCTTCCCCAGCCTCAACGGGCAGAGTGCAGGCACCTGCTGCCCTCCCGGAGACCGGGGCTGGGAGGACAGCAGCTGTTTGTAGCCTCCCAGCTGCAGCCAGACCTGGCTCTGGGCCACCGAGCCCAGGCTGCTCCCGTGGAAGCCCTGCTGCAAGCAGCCTGGGCTCCGTGGCTATCAGCAGCTACCCAGAACCTGGGCCAGCTGCAAACATCTGCTGCCTCTCCGCCCTGGCCCCGGCCCCAGCCCCAGCTGCCTGCCAGCCCCAGACCCGGCCCCTGGCTCTGGGGAGGGAGCACATACCAGCAATGCTCCCCGTTGTGCTGCCCTCGCCACTTCTGCAAAGCAGCGTTGGAACCCAGCGTGGCAGGACACAGTGGGGGGCACAGAAAGCTGACTGCTCCCAGCTCCCCACTGCCCTGCCACACCTCCCCTGTGTGCATGGGAGCTGTGTAGGCAGTAGTGCAGGGTTGTGCCCCTTGCTGCTGCCCCCACCTGCAGGGGAAGAGTGGCAGGGCAGCAGGGAGCTCAGAGTGGCAGGCGGCTTTCTTTGCCCCCCGCTGTGCCCTGCCACGCCAAGTTCCAACGCTGCTTTGCAGAAGCAATGAGGGCAGCACAGCAGGGAGCATTATCAGTATGTGCTACCTCCCCAGAGCCCAGGGCAGTGTCTGGGGCAGAGAGGCAGCAGATGTTTGCTGCTGGCCCAGGTTCTGGGTAGCTGCTGACAGCCACAGAGCCCGGGCTGTGGGTGGGGGGCAAGGCGCAGCAGGGCTGGGGGGCAGGGGGCAAGGGCTTTGGATGGGATGTAAGGGTCATGTGCAGAGCTGGGGGGAAGGGGCTTTGGGCAGCAGGGCTGGGGGGCACAGACTTTGGGTAGAGGGCAAAGGGCACAAGCAGGGCATCCTGTCATGTACCCCCTGCCCTCATTTTGTTTTTCTGGCATGCTGGCACTCCAGCAGCTTCCAAGGTAGGCATTGTGGGGTTTTTCAGCACTCCAGGCAAAAAAAACATTGCCTACCCCTGCCCTAGAGGAATAACCAGAGAGTGAAAGAACTCCTGAGTTACAATCTGGGAACTGACTCAGTCAATGCATGGCCTTGGGCATGCAACTACCCCAGATTCTTTTATCTGTAAAAACCAAAAAAAACCCCTTATTTCTTACTCCTTGGGCAGATATTGTGGGTTAGTTCATGTTTGTATAGCACTTTTCAAATGTTGACTAATATACTTCATGCTTGTTATAGGTTTTAATTAATTATCTCTTTGTATCCCAGCACAGTACACACATCTAATATTATCATTCCTTAACTGCTATTTCTCATAGGGAGTTTCAGACAAACAATAAAAGCCATTTGACTTGGCAGCTCTTT